CTACGGCAATCAACCTAACTACGGCAATCAACCTAGCTGATTTCACACGTTGTGCCAGCAACGCGACACTTCCGGAGGTGGGCGGTCGGAGCGCCGCCAGGCGGCGAAAGCGCTTAATACGTGCCCTGGAGCCTTATTACGGGCGCCGTTTGGGATTCTGAGCATGGTAACGTCTCTGTGGGTGCGCAGCCATGCACAAAGACGACAAAAGGGATTGGTTTGGTCCATCAAGCCTGACTCGTGCCTTTAAGCTCCTGAATGCAGCGATTATTGGTTAAGAGAGTGAAAGGCTGGTGGATTCGGTGTGGGAGGAGAGAAGAGAATGAGAGAATTGGGAGAAGTCCTAAAGCTGATGGTGGTGAGGTTCGTATCGAGCCCCCACTGAAGGGGAGAGGGGGATCGCAAAATTTTTCGGTAAATTGCGAACGTGACGGTTGATCCTGGCTGGAGCAATCAATGCATTAACAACAGAGAATATATCTAAACATCGAGTAATATTGGATGAGAATTGAAGAACTCCTTTTTCAGGTCATCCCTACCAACAGATCAATTAAAACCGTCCTATGACTACTATGTAAAGGTTCGTGCCATAAATGAAGCTGGAGCTGGTCCGCTTTCCGAGGCAATTCACTTCACCACACCAAATGGAGGTGATTTAACGGAAGGTTCCATTTTAAGTTCGTAGTTTTCGGTTTTGCCGTGCCGTGAACTTAATCTAGAATTAATAAATTAGATTCACTCGTCTCTCTCTACATATGTTACACAGTGGTATTTGCATGCTTTTTTTTCTAATCAGTAATCAATTACAGTATCCGTAATCATCTCTATTTATACCATTTCCACTTGAAAATGGACATCGTTCAAATCAAAGTTGCTGTTTTCAAAAAATCGTGGACATTTTTCAATTCGACCCGGAGATTTTTCAAATAGCTCAGGACGATTTTCAATTCGACTCGGATTTTTTTCAAATCACCGTGGACATTGTTCAATTCAAAATGGATCCTTTTCATATCAAGCTGGACACCCCACAGATAAAGCATGGCCTCCTTCATTCCGAACGTAAATCCTTCTCAATCATCAGAAAATAGTTCTCGAGAAACAGAATATTTCTCTCAGCCAACAAAATAGTATATTTTCGAGTAGAACTTATGCGAGTTTTCCAACAGTTCAAACACAAAGAACACAAATCAACCGTTTAGTTGTGAAAGGGTTGTCCAGTTGCCAAGGCAGTTAAATTTACCATCACAATGATGACGTACTTGACAGAATTCTACTTCGTCCTCTATACTTTACGCCTTGCACTTTCTACACTTTCTTCTTCTTTCTTTCTCTCCTTCGTGTCACAGACACGGAGCGGAAGCGATAGAAGAAAATCATATTTTAAAAGGACCGCTTATTCCAGTCAATCGAGTTTCTGCTCTTTTCAGCCTTCTCTCACCAAGAGAGCTGGTCTGTGTCCATTGACTTCGCACGCCTACCTCCTGGCCACGTTTGGCGTTTTCGTTTGCCAGTATATGCGCGTAGCGATTTGAGACAGAAAACATGGCGGAAAGTACAAGAAGTCGTATAGCAAATGGTAGTGAAAGAGTCGGGAAGATGATCTCCTTGAGAAGATTTGCTGGATAAAAAGGCCTGATAACACGCTCTATACAAAACTAATTGGCCTTTCATTACATGGATTTTATCAACTTTTATTCAGGAGATTTTCTTGCACATCCGCACTTTTAATTTAAATATATTGTCACGAATATACTGTCGACTACTTTTTCGAAGTCCAGTGTTCCAATTTGGCGTGATCCTGCGATCCCTGCTTTTGAAAAGTTGTCACTGAAACAATTGGAAAAAAAGGCCGGGTCGAAATGAAAAATGTCCACGGTCCAGTGAAAAAAAGCCGGGTCGAAATGAAAAATGTCCACAGGTCATTGAAAAAAAGCCGGGTCGAAATGAAAAAAGTCCTGAGTCAATTGAATAAGGTCCACTTTGGAGTGGAAATGTATATATGATTCTATTAACCGTTTTCCTTTCAATTATTTTCGCTTTCGGCTTTTAGGACCGGCAAAATCCCCGACGGGCGTTAAGCTTGTCGATATAAATGAGGCGATTGCAGCTGGTACGATGGACAACCCAATGCGAACAGGATTTTGGTTGGTGTTGCTGGGGTGTTACATTAATTCAAAGACGAAGTTTATGATAGTTAGAACGCAGCGCGGTTGGAATTTAGCCAGGTGTTTCAAGTAGATAAGACACATAGAAGCTGGAAGGATACCATGAGAAATGGTCAGAACTACTAGAGTAGCGAAAGCGGACCCTTTCCTTGCGTTCACTTCCACATCATTGCCTTCATTGGATGCACTTACTATTGACAACACCCGATCTTTAGTTATTTCTGTCCACGAAATACTTCTTTAAACAAACTCTATAAGACATTTTCAAATCACTGCGCGGCTTAGAACCTGCGACAGGAAGCGCTTCTGCCGCTAAGCACTACATACAGCTCAAAAGGATTTCGATAAAGAAGCAACCCATTAGAAAGCAAGAGAGAGGGCGCAGTGATGCAGGCATGAAGAAAACCGAGAAAAACGAGCTGACCTAAGAAAGGGGCCCTTTTTGCCCAATGATTCCCGCATTGGGGCGAGTCTCCTGGTCTTAAATCATCAAGGGAACACTCTGCTCTGTGTCTCTGCTAGACGGCTAGAGTTCGACGGCGAGGGAGTAGCTAGTCGGAAGGAGTGTAGCGTCAAGAGCGTCGCCAGTGCAGCCCTGCTAGGCCACTGGGGGCATACCCTTCGATGCGAAACTCACATCGCCTTACACCCCTAGGGCGCTTGCCTGCCTTTCCACTAGGTGTGCTTCCCTTCTTCGACCTCAGATCTTTTCACAAGATCCTCCCTTAAAGCCAAATAACAAGATTGCAAATTGTGGTGCTGATTAAATTTACCGCAGGTGGACATATAAGCCGAGGCAAGCGGATGATGTCTGCATCCTTGTTGGACCTCTTGTTACCTTTCTTTCTTTGCCAGGCTCAACCGTTCGTTGGAGTTTCACAATTGGGTCGTATTGGTTCTAGAGAGGTTAGATCTAGAGAAAATGCATCCTTTTTCAAAGTTTTCGGAGAAATCTGGCTGATTTTGCCGTTTAAACAGTTGTCACTCGACACACTTTCTGAGCTCAAGGGGGTTAAGGGCGTTTCAATTTCTGCCAAAATTAACCAAATTCGACGGCACTGTACGCATCATCGGTCTTGGAGTAAGGTCGTGTGGGGGACTCTTCCAAAAAAAGGAGTCGTAGAATTTCAATATTTTCCCCAGTGACGGTTCACCCTGTACCCCAAGAGGGGACAGCTGAGTGTTGGCGGATTCTAAGAGGATTTTTTTTGGTTTTTTTTTAGTTTTTCTATCCCATCACTTACAAATCCACTTTCGAATTGTTCTTTCTCCTCCATTTCCACCAGTGATCAATTTACGTTCTCCTTCTAACAAACGGTCTTCTTACCTTCGTTTGACGCACCATTCCAGAAGTAGTTTACTGAGCTGCTATTGCGGCAAAAATTCCTATCATATACAGATAGTCTTCCGATTATAGTCTTATTCACCATAATACATTCCAGGTACAAATTTGGCTATCAAGTCGGTCTCAAACCGAAAACGTTCTATCGTGTGCGAGTCAGTGCGAAGAATGATGTCGCTGAAGGTCCAGTTAGCGAAACGAAGGAGTTTGAAACGGCCTATTCTGGTTAGTTCCTTCAATCTTTTCCTTTTCCGAGTAATTCGAGCTTTCAAACTGAAAAGATGGCTTCTCAGGCATTTCCGCGCATCACACGGGATTCTTTCATGTAGAAACAATACATGTAATGTCTCAGTCCACTTCCAGTACGCCCTGGAATAACTGTGCATTGTGCAGTGAGCCCTTGCTGTTCTGGTATCAGAATTCTTACTGATTGACACGTTTATTTTGGTCCATGTTCCACTTTCGGTAGCTCCTGTATGCTTCCTACATCCAGACTCCATCCCCATCCACCCCACGCTTGACTCGGGACTCTAGATTATTCTTAAGGTAAGATCCAATCCTGTATACGAACAACCGAACACAGACGCACAGATAGAAGTACTCGGCCAATTTGTACATGGCACGGATAAAACAGGCGTCATATCAAGTTGTCTTTGACCACGGGATGCGGCTGAATGCGTCCATACGGCGCTATCGCAATATACGGGGCGTTTAAAACCGCATAAAACATGCGTTTTTTGTTGAAGACGGGACTAAACCTTACGCGGCGAGGAGAGACTCCAAAATGCGTGGGCCATTTTCATTTTTTTCCGGAACTCCTGCCCCTTCTTGGCTTAATCCTAGAGATGCCCCCGTACGATAGTGCCGTCTATACTTCTATCGTACCTTGCAGGGCTGGGGTAGTTTGCATCGGCATGTTGAAGTGGAAGCAGCAGAGGCTGATCGCTCCTGTCGTCTCGCTAGGCAGCTGTCAGCTGTTTATCTAATAAATCATAGGCTTGCATTCGGAAGAGTATTTTATGTGTTCCTCTATTTTTCAGAGCTACCAATTCCAACCGATATCAAAACAAGGGTGGCCGAAGATAACTCACTTACCATTACTTTCACTGCAGTGAGAGATCCTGATGATCACTCCAATATCATTCAGGTAATAGAAGCTCTTGAACTTTTCTGATTTGCTTACAGTTCTTTTTTCAGCTAATTTCCATGCTTTTTTGTTCTTCAATTTTTTGAGATTCCTTTTTCTGCACTTCACTAATTTCATCAGAGCATTGATGGGTATGGTATGGAATACGCTTCTGCTGAGAAGGCGCCAATATTAACACGTTGACGACAGCGTGACGCGGTAACGCGTCCCACTTTGCGCACCTCGTGGGACATTGTGACGCGGTAACGCGTCCCACCCAAGTCATCCCTTTTTCTTGCGCTTGCGCGACTTATTCCTAAGGTCTTTGTACTCATTCTATATTTCATACATTAGCATACATACAAAAACCACATGGCTCACAGAAAGGCCAAATATTCTTTAGTTTGGCAGAGGTTTTCCAGACCTTACGGATATGTCTGTTCAGTTCATTCCTCGTTTTCTTTTCATTAACGTAAACATGTTGATAAAAAGGAATAATAGAAGCGAATACAAACCTATTCGTATGGAAGATATGTGTTTTTACTGAAACAACCACGTCCAAATTAATTTTGGAACCACTAAAGGGAAAGTAAGTAAAATTTGCCTTTTCATGGCCTTAACACGTCATTTCGGTCGAACTTCCATTACTGTAACTCCCGATAAGTTAGACAGATCGAACATTATTGAAAACACTTCATCGCATCTAAGTATTGCGTATTTACAGCTCAAAATCCATGGATTTGGTGTGCGGCGGCGGCGCTCGCAAAATCGCTCTGGTCCCACGCGGTGCAAAAACCCAAAACGCGCGATGTCGTCAACGTGTTAAAATTAGGCTGGTGTCAGAGTCCGCGATCCGTCGCGCGACGTGTCGCGCACTCTGACACCAGCCTTACTACTAGAAAAATCTTAAGAAGCTCAACAGGTTATGCCAGTCACTTGCAATGTGGTGTACACCGTTGCATATATAATATTTATATTTGGGCGGAAGTGGTGTAGTGGCAAGTGGCACGCTTACCACGCGAGCGGTCCGGGGATCAAATCCTGGGTCGTGA